AATACATTTAAGTGAACCCATTAGTGACTTCAGATAAAAATCTTGAAGTAGGGCAGCGCGGTGGCTCATGCCTATAATCCCAGCACTTTGGGAGGCCGAGGCCGGCGGATCACGAGGTCAAGAGATTGAGACCATCCTTACCAACATGGTGAAATCCCATCTCTACTAAAACTACAAAAATTAGCTGGGCGTGGTGGAGCATGCCTGCAATCCCAGCTACTGGGGAGGTTGAGGCAAGAGAATTGCTTGAACCTGGGAGGCGGAGGTTGCAATGAGCTGAGATCGTGTCACTGTACTCCAGCCTGGCAACAGAGTGAGACTCCGTCTCAAAACAAAAAACAAAATGAAAATCTTGAAGCATCTACCATCCTAAAGGCGTGAACAGGTTTCTGACTCCTCAACGTACTAGGGAAGCTCAGCAGCAGTGAGAAATCTTACAGTGTGGGGCAGCTTCTGTGCTGAGGGTGCGTGGTTATGAATATTGCAAAATGATAGGTCTCACCCAGAAAACCCACCATGTAGTCCCGGGCTGAGTCTTCATCCCTGTCTCAGGGTTCTGACTCGAGTTGACTCTACTTCAAAGGAAGGAAAGCTTGTTTGGCCAAATACCCGTGGAGCATCGGTTTCAGGAATGTGACATGCTGTTAAACCACAGCCGTGTATGCTTGCAGCCGCTGAGATTTTTCAAGGATGAAAGTTTCACTTTTCAAAGAAAAACATGGCACCATGTAAGTTGGAGAAACATAAGGTAAATGGTGTCAATTGGCCCCAAGAAGCTTTTTCTTCCCGAGAACACCTACTACGTGTACATTCCAGGGGAAGTTGTAGAGGTATGTGAAAATGGATTAAATGTATAAGATTAGAACAATGAGACACCGTTCCTGCCTTCCAGCATGTTTCAGGAGGTGGAGATACTCTCCTAGGCTCATGCTCTGTCCCTCAGAACGGGTCTGAGCCTGTGTTGACTATAGCAGCCTTTTGACTGTCTGAAGGAGCCACTGCAACCTCCCTATACTTCCCTCGTTCCTCCCTAGATGCTTTTGTGCGGTGGCTCCCGCAGATGGTTGCGGTCATCCGGACACTGACTAGTTTACCCGCGTTCTTTGTAAACTGCGCTCCCTGCTCCCTCATTTTCCAGGTAGAGTGAAAGCAGCATAAGTCACACGTGGGCAGTGTGGGGGCAATACTGGAAACCTGGGCCACTAACCCCACAGACCACCAAGGGTTGGCGGCTGCTTCAGGATCTGTAAGACGCGCAGGTCAGCCCAGCCTGGGGTGACCCCTTCCAGAGGGGCCAGGCAGCCTTGACCAGGCCTGGTGCTAAGTACTTCCTAAGCCCTGGGTGGCCTGTAGCTTCTCACAGTTCGAGGTAAAAGCGGGCCCTGGGCCAGAGTCTTGGACACTGGAATTCGTGGACACTGGTGGGGAAAACTACTGGCCTCTGAGCCTGGCATAGAAGGGAGAAGCCCGCCCCCTTGTGGATCTCTGGAGAGTAACACGGTGCAAAAAGCACTGAAACCCTAACAGGGGACAGGGAGTCTCCGGGAGCAGCCACCTCCTCTCAGTGCTCCCATTTCACCAACCGCCTCTGGGGACCTGCAAGAGAACTGATCTGTGCTGTCACGGGAGTGGTAGCAGGGGACATAAAAGGAAGTTAGGAAGTTGAGACCCCTGGATTATGTGTCTGGCAACAACGAGTTAGAAAGAAATCGGGCAAGTGTTATTAGCTGTTTAAAAAAAGAAAGCAGAAAAAAAATGGCATCTGGAAGTCTTTCCTGGTTCTGCCACTCCCTGTGTGGCCCCAGGAAAACTACAGTCTCTCTCTGGGCCTCCAAGGACCTTGCTAGGTTAAAGGCTCCAATCCCTCTGAATGCTGAAGCCTCAGGCTTTCACATCTCAGTCCTGACAGTGGTCTGTGGTTGGTGGCACCACACTCCTGATTGAAGAGAACCTGGGAGGCAGCAAGGGCAAAGGGCATTGTGCAAGGGGAAGCAGAGGGCATCAGCTTGGCCACCCACCCACAGCCCTGGACAGCACAGCACCCCTATCACTACACCATGCTGCTAGGAGCCCAAAGGGTCATTTTCCAGAGTGAGTCCAAGAGGGGTCATGTCCCCTCCTTCCACAGTTTTGGCCAAATCTACATCATTTCTCCATCACGTGGACACCAGCCCAGAGGTGCCTGTGCCATAAAACATGCTTGACCCAGAGAGATGTAACCTAGGCCCATTGTCCAAGACAGCAGCCTTGCTCACACGCTTCCAGACTACTTTTACTCTGCACGAAGCACATGATCAAAGATTGTGTTTTTAACATATTTTCAAGATGAATTCTTTGCTACTCTGTAACTGATCAGGATAATTGGGCTAAATCTAGCCCAGGGAAATGCAAACCAGAAGCACTTTCCTCGAAGCGCCCCAGATTAAAAAATGAATGATATGTTAAGATGGCTCAGATTTCCAACTGCACCACACTCACAGAGAAACAGAGCCACCGAGTCAGCGAAGATAGTGTTTTAAAGGCCAGCTGTCCTCCAAAAGAATGAAAAGTATTAAAACTCTTTTAGGTGGGGCACGGTGGCTCATGTCTGTAATCCCAGCACTTTGGGAGGCCAAGGTGGATGAATCACTTGAGGTCAGGAGTTCCAGACCAGCCTGGCCAATGTGGTGAAACCAAATCTCTACCCAAAATACAAAAATTAGCCGGGCATGGTGGCATGCACCTATAGTCCCAGCTACTCAGGTGACTGAGGCACAAGAATCACTTGAACCCATTAGGTGGAGGTTGCAGTGAGCTGAGATTGCACCACTGCACTCCAGCCTGGGCTACAGGGCAAGATTGTTTAAAAACAAAAACAAAAAATCCTGTAAAATGGCTTTGTGCCGGGTGCAGTGGCTCACAACTGTAATCCCAGCACTCTGGGAGGCCAAGGTGGGTGGATCACCTGAGGTCAGTGGTTCAAGACCACCCTGGTCAACATGGTGGAACCCCTCGTCTCTACCAAAATTACAAAAATTAGCTGGGCATGGTGGTGTGCACCTATAATCCCAGTTACTCAGGAGGCTGAGGCAGGTGAATCACTTGAACCCAGGAGGCAGAGGTTGCAGTGAGCCAAGATCATGCCACTACACTCCAGCCTGGGTACAGAGTGAAACTGTCTCGAAAAATAAATAAATTAAATTGAATTTAAAAATGCCTTTGTATAAATTATCTGAAATAATTATGCCCTCAGTCTAGCATGCTCCTAGCTGGAAATGTATGGACAAATGTTAGGGGTAGAAGAGTCATCTATGCACACTATAGTACACTAAAGCTTTGGCTGAAACTATATAGCCTGTAATGTCTCATTTTTTAATGGCATTAGAAGGCATTATGAGTTATTACATAAACATCCTTTAAAATTCAGAGTAGTCCAACAATAAGAACAACCCAAGTTCTACCTAAAAAACTACAGTCAGGTAGAACACATAACTGTAACTGTAGACAGAACACTTTTCAAACACCTATTTAGACCACCTGGTTTCTGCAGCATTGCCAAATTCTAAAATTGTAATGAAAAATGTAAAGTTTAAAACCTACAAGTCATCAGAGGTTCAGTGAGCAGATTGTGCCATTCCAAAACCGAAAATGTGCTTGCATAAGCAAGTCACCGGGGCTAACCTTTCTGGATTGAGAGTCTGGCCTTCAGTTCAGACCGTGGCTATGCCAGGGTCAGAAATGTGACAAAACTGCGCTTTCACGGAGGTTAGCCAAGGTTCACAGGGTCATGACTGGGCCATTTTATCAGTCATGTCAGGCTCACACCCTATTGCCTGGGATAGATAAAAACTTTATCTGTCAGTTTGCTAAATCTGCTCCTCCTGCCTCATTTTGAATAAAGAAAACCTGGGCTCAGCTTATCTAAACCAGAGATGCGCCTTTCCTAATACTGTTTCCATATGCAACTTCTTTTTTTTTTTTTTTTGATTTGTATTTCCCTTTTATTGCATAAATTACCAACAAAATCCTGACCTGGGAATCAAAAATTTAATATAACCTCAGTTTAACACCATTAACTAAGCTAAATCTCAGAGTAATACTGGAATGTTACCCAATAAAGTAGGCAAATGGCCAAGTATTACATTCCCTATTTCAAAAAAGAGGAATTAAGCATTCATGTCATAAGTTTATTGACAAATATATCTAGCATGCCATGAGTTAGAGTTTGATCCATTTCCAGAGGCTGTATCTCTTAAAATGCTCTTCATATCTGGTAAATGGACGAACTGAAACATCCTTATTGTTTAAGCAGTTGGTGTCTTACTATAAGGAAGGGTGCAGCAAATGCAGATCCAAAGTACAAACACATCTTAACTAGCAACGCCCACTTGTTTTCCACTGAAAATGGCAAATTCTTCCCAGGGCCCTCCTCATAGTGGCTCCTACGGACCACAGAGGTTGTGAACCTCCGGATGCTGTGGCCCAACATAGCGCTGCTGGAAGCTCTGCGAAAGGCGCAGAGACCGAGGACGGATGAAATCTCCATATGCAACTTCTAAGTAAAGGTGGCACGCCAGTGATTTCTGGTCTCATTTTAGTCAAGAACTGTCCATAACTGGAGTGACTGACTTTGTCTTATCTAAAACCTTCACTTCAGAGAACAGATTTATTATGTTTATGACATGTTAGATGAGCTGGAGGGGTTAGAGTGACAGTTCTCAGTGTTACCTTTTTCCCTAAAGTAAAGCAAACCAAAAAAATTTTTAAATTAACTTGGATCAATTTTCCAAATAGGGAATCTAAATGACTGTAGAAGAATTTACAGAGAAACGTCTGGAATAACACACACAGACATGTATTTTCTAATAACTGTTAACATAAAAAGCAGCTAAGATTTCTTCTCACAGAAAACAGAGATGCACAGATAAGCCCAGGTGGGCATTGTAAAATCTGGTTAAATACACTAAGCAAATATTAAACTGGTGAATTTTACCCGACAGGAATCTTAAATACCAGAAAAGTACCTTCAAATTTTACTTTATTTGGAAATAATACAAATTCATTATTTTAATATTTAAAGATTGTGGTAATATAGTCAAAACACATAAATATTATAATATACATTTAGAAATTAAATATAAAGTCAACACAACACTCCTTAAAAACTCATATGTACACTTGCAATAAGTCTGAGGTTTGAGCATTCAAGCTCATCAGATTTCCCCATGGAAATGGATGAATCTTGCAGGGAGATTGTCCACAGGATACACAGTGGGACTGGTTTTCATTGTAGGAGGTCCATTTAGAAGCTGCCAGTCACAATGCCTGGCCAGCTCCACTGTAAATATTTTGAGAAGAATTTTTGCAAATTCTTTGCCTACACAGCTCCTCAGGCCTCCTCCAAATGGAATGAAGCTGAACCTGGATGCATCCTCTGGGTGAGGCAGCATGAATCGGTCAGGATTAAATTCTTCCTTGTTGGTGAAGATCTCTGCCACATCATGAGTATCACAGATACTGTAGATAACATTCCAGCCCTTGGGAATCTGGTATCCCTGCAAAAGATTATGAAACCCCAAGGGCTGACAAACTGGAATTTAACTTCCAACAACAAAAAGCAGTCACTGATATCTTTGGGGAAAATTATGAGCTAAAAGCAAGGGAGAGGTAGAAAGAGAAAGGTGGATCCAAGTTGCTGAAACACACCTTCATATAGGGCAGAACAATTATCAAAAGCATAAGAATTGCAGCCACAGCATAGGGAAGGAAGCAACAGGAGTTTTTTAAACCACAACAAAAGGGAGAGAGAAGAGAATTTTAACTTACATTTAATTCAAAAGTCTTCAGAGCAACCCGAAACCCTCCTGGAACTGGGGGATTCAGTCGAAGGGTCTCCTTAATAACACACCCGATGTATTTAAGTTGTTCCAAAATTTCCATGTCCAACTTGTTGTCTTGATTGCTCTTGCAAAGTAAACCCTATCAAAACAGTCATACAGAGGTGAACAGTTATTTTGTGTTCCAATAAAATCATCCCAGCAGACGTAAACAGGGCTTAAGTGGAGACTAAACCCAAAGGGCCCCATGATGGGAGAGACTGGGAGGGGGAAACAGCAGCTAGTGGCCATTTGCCTGCCCAAATTCACTATCTATTTACAATCCCAAGAGAATGCTGCTCACCAGTTAGAAGGGCCAAGTTTCTCCCCTCGCCCCGCCCCCCCACAACCCTCCCAATCACCACCACCCACACTAATCAGCTATTCACACTGATCACACTATGTATGCCCTCAGCCACACCAATTCAAGAAAGTGGAACCTATCTGAGAATCTCCTCGGTTCAGCAAAAGGTGGAGGAGGGGTCGAAATGAATACAAGGTCAAACCCTGTGCAAGTGGGATCACAGCTCAAGACTCCATCCTGTTTATTCACAAAGCTAATTCTCCCCACTGGCTCACACAGCCCTGGGCCCTGCACTTTCAAAACACTCCATGAAGGCAGCACACTGACTTATTCGGAAGTTGGCTAGGGAGCAGCTGAATTTCCTAAGCTAGTAAGGACACCCCCAGTCCCAGTCTCCCTACCTTACTCTTCAGCTCTTCTCGCACTTTCTGGAGAACATGTGGGTAGAGCCCCAGGTAAGTGATCAGAGATGTGGCTGCACTGGCCGTGGTTTCGTGTCCTCCAAAGAGGAGTTCGGTTGAAGATTGCTTTAGTGCCTAAAATAGAATACTATCCACGTTCTCACAACTCTGCGTGCGGTTTGACAGAAGGATTACTCAGAATCGAACTGAGATTTCTGGAGGGAAGACTAAAAGGGCTAAATGTTTTGCTGACAGAAAGTCAAGGAAAGCAATATCTTTAAACAAAATGCAAAGTCCCTTTAGTTCAGCTAGAGCAGTAAGGCGAGTACGACCCCACTCTACCGGAAACTCCTGAGTTAAAGTCTTAGTTTTATTAAAATCGTAAGGTTCTTTATTAACATTTTTGCAAATTCCAACTTTCCCTTTGAAGCCTGGAAAGGTTAGGGGACGCTCCCAGTTCCGCCGCAGCCCCTTCCGCAGCTCTCCTGACCCAGTGTCTCAGCCTTCGGAATTCCATCGCTGTAGTCTGAGAGGGCCGCCCACTCCAGAAAGCTGGGTCCCAGGCACGCGCTTTGGGGGCCCCAGGAACCACGCTTGGAAAGCCAGGGGACCAAACTCCGCAATGCCTGGTCTGAAGCTGTCACTCACCTGCATGTCCAGCCGCTCTCCCCTCTCCCACGAGTGCTCGATCAACAGCTGCAGCGCGTCTTTGCAGCCCCTGCCCGCCTCGGATGCCCGCAGCCCGCAGATCTTGGCGCGAATGTTCTGCTCGATGCGCGCGTGAATGAGGTTCCGTGCCTTCATGCCCTGAGCGCAGAGAGCGCGCGGAGGTGAGCAGACGCCCGGGTCCCGCGCCCCTAGTCCGCAGCCCGTTTGCCGCCCTTACCCGGTACAGCCCGCTGAAGGGCACGTCGATGGGCAGTGAGAAGAGATTGCGGGTCATTTCCTCGAAGGCCTCCACAAGCTGCTGCTCGGCGTCCCCGTCGCCGGCCAGTTGGGGTTCGCAGCCCAGTAGGATGCGCATGGCTATTCGGAACATGAGGCGCTTCACCTCGGGGTAGACCAGGAGGCCGCGCTCGCCGCAGCTCAGCCACTGCTCCAGGCTGCTGCCCACTTCCTCGGTGATCACCGGCACGTAGCACTCGAGTGCCTCGCGGCTGAAGGCCCGCATAATCACCTGAGCCCCGAGGAGCGGAGAGCGTTAAAACCCTCCATCCGCCCCTCTCGTCTACCGCCGTCCCCTTCCAGACACCCCCAGTCCTGCCAGACACATGGCACTCTCCGAGCTGGGAAAGCTAACCTGGAGCTGGCAGAGGGTCCTAGCCTACCTCAAGCTGCTAGCCCGCGCCCAGCATCCACCAGCCGGAATTCCTGTCATAAATGGAGTCCCCTTCCCTGTCCATCCGTCGCCTCCCGCCCCCACCTTCTTGCGCTGCTTGTGCGAGGAGTCGTGCAGGTTAGAGAGGCAGCCAGATCCCAGAATGGTGCGCACCGACGCTGGCCAGTGGACGGACACCAGCCGGTGCTCTCCGAGCAAGATGCGCCGCACATTGTCCGCGCCCATCACCCGCACGGTGGGCCGCCCGAACAGATGCGTCTTGTAGATGAAGCCGTATTTCCTGCGCTTCATCTGCAGGAACTTCCTCCGCTGTGGGAGGAAGGCCGAGGAGAGAGGCGGGCATGAGGGGGCGCCGGGGAGCGCCGCGCCTCGCGCCAGCCCTGCTCCTAGCCGCAATCGCCTGCCTCCCGGGGGCGCCTACCCCGACTTTAGCAGAAGCCCAGAGCCGCTCCGGGCTCCGGGAAAGCGGCCTGTCCCGCCCCATGCTCCCTTACCTGCAGTACCATCTGCAAGGTTTCCCCAAAGAAGGGGAAGCCCATAGTCCCGGGGGGCAATGGGAGGGCACAACTGCGGTCGCGGCCGCTCACGCAGTACAGGTCCCAGAGCTTGATCGCAGCCAGGAAGAGCAGCAGCGGCAGCACGAAGGTGCAGAGCGCACTGGCCAGCAGCGCCGGGAGCCCCATGGCGCGCCGCGACCTCCCGCGCCACCTGCCGCCGCCGCCAGCGCTCCAAACCCCACGGCGCGGCCGCTTTATAGGCGGCCCAGGTTGCTGCCCACGTTACCTTGGTCAGACAATTAGTTCACCCAAAGTTCATCTTTAATTGCGGATTGGGCCCCTGGCTCCTCCCCCCGCGAGGCGCTGCCCAAAATCTTTAACCGTTTGTTCCGCGCCGAGGCAGAGGCGGCGCGGTGGCGGCTTCCCTCCGAGCGCGCCTCCTGGGGTGCGGGGCTAGGAGCTGCCCGCCTCCCCCATCCAAGGTGTGCAGAGCTCCGAGGCGGCGGTGGGGGAGGGCCAGGACTCCGAGGAGCCGGAATTCCAAGCTCTAGCCTTCCCGGCGGTCTCTTTGGAATCCCTCCCGCCGGGTCCCACCCTCTGCCCCGGCCCAAAGCAGCCTTCACTGGCTTTCCATTTCCAGGCGCCGCGTGGGCTCTCTTCCACCTGCTGAGGAAGCAAGGGGAAGTCCGTTCAGGAATCGTCCAGCTGCCTCCTCCCACGAGTGGGGAAACTGAGGTCCAAGAGAGATGCATAAAGCAGGCCTCCAGACTTTTCCGAAGGATCGAGCGGAAGAGCCCAGTGCCAGAGTCCAAGAGAGAGCCACGGGGCATCCAGCGCAATAGGCAGATCTGGGATTCCCAGCTCCCCAACCCCCGCAAGGGGGCCAGCACTTGTGAAGTCTTGGGAGGTCCTACTTCAGGATACAAGAGGGCCTCCAGGTCCCTCAGGTCCCCAGGTGCTACCCTGCACAAGCCTGATCCCCGACCCTGGGGCACTTCCTCTGGGGCTCGGCAGTCGGTGCCCGTCTTTGAGATACGAGCACAGCCCGCCCATTCTGAGGGCCCTGCGACTTGGCGCCCCAGCTGGACAGCAGGGAATGGGGTCCTCAGCCCTGGCAGGATAAAGAGACGGTGTAAGAGGAAGGGGAGCCCAGGAGTCCTGGCTTCGAGTCCCGGCTCCATCTCTACTGCGCGTGACCTTGGGCAAGTCACCACACATCACTGTGCCTGTTTCCTCCTTCTTAACAGGGAGGCGATCATTCCTGATCTGTCTAAGCCTCAGGGTTGTGAGTTCCCAAAAGGGGGCTCCGGTTGCAACTACTCTTCCCAGCTCCGGGCACGGTAGGCTGCGTTACCTGTCCGGTACAACGGGCACTGGAGTCCTCCTCTCTCCCAAGTCCCACCCAGAGTAAAGCCACTGTAATCACCCAGGTGAGGGGGTGCTTGGCCCTAAACTCAGGCCTCTGCCGACCCCTAAGCGGGGGGTGAAGGAATCTGTACTGGGAAGTCTTCTGTAATTTGCCTAACTACAATCAGCAGCTACTGTAGCCAATGCCCGGACTCAGACGCTGCGGGACGCGCACCTGCGCTCTCTTTTCTCCACCTGCCGGAGCTTCCCGGCTCGGGACCAGCCAGGGCCACACGCTACCTGGGTTTGGGCGCTGAACGCACCAGCGGCGCCGAAAATGAAACAGAATGACCTGCATTTGTTTAGAACCGAACACTGGCTCTGGCAGAAGCACGCCGCACGCCTTGGAAAGCGTCCCTTGGAGGTGGAAAACTCTGCTCCTGAGAGCTTAAATGCGTTACCCTTCTCGCGGTGGTTCCCAAACCCGGAGGTATCAGGAAATATCTGCAGAGGTTGGAGGGACCCGCGCAATCCTAGCGACGCTCCAAGCCCCAGTCGCCGCCACAGGGCGTGTTTCCGGGGGTCGGCGTTTCCCCATAACCTGCCCAGTGTTTCAGAGGCTCTGGGCAGGGTTTCAGTCTCCGGCAAACGATTTGGTGGCTGTAAACACGGCGAGCCAACCTCTGGCCACTGCAGGAAGCCAGGCCAATCGAGCTGGAGGTAATTCTCAGAAATCCCGGGTCCGCCCCTTTCTGGACAGCGCCTCCGGCCGGGGTGCAAAGCCGGCGAACGGGGACGTGACCTGGGGCCCATTCCCAATCCTCGGGCCTGACCCGCCTGTGACCCCTGCAGGCCGGACCGTGACATCCGAGTGAACTCTGCGGGGCCACCTCGCCAAGTTCAGCGCACGCCGGGTCACAAGATGAGCCGGGCCTGCACGCTGGAAATTGCCGCAGGGAAAAAAACGTTTTAATCTATCTGCACATCGAGGCCAGCGGGGGCGTCCGGCAGGAAAGGATTAAATTTGAGAGTGAACGATCATTAAAGAACATCTTGAAGGGGGGCAGGGCGGGGGGGGGGGTGAAAAAAAATTCCCCCCCAAAGGGGAATTTTGTTTGGGGATTTTCCCAAATTTTGGGGGGGGGGGGGGGGGGGGGGGGGGGGGGTGGGTTCACTGAAAAACAACTTGTTTCCAAGATGTTTACAAAACAGCCTCCCTATTGCTAAGAGGCGGGATGCGGAGTCGGTTCCTTTTTTTTCTTTTTCTGGTAGGGAGGGGTGAGGGTGCAGGGACTAGACTGGAGTCACAACAAAACAGTCCACCTCCAGTTTTCTCCTTCCAGCCCCCCTTCTCGTTTCTGAACATGCGTTCCTGTCTCAGGGTTCTATACCTGCTGTTCCCTCTGCATGCCACACCCCTCCCTCAGGCCTGGCTGGTTCCTTCCAAAGTCAAATGTCACCTCCTCCAAGGTTCCCCCCACCCATCCAGCCTAATTTAGCCCCAGACACTCTCTATCACAGGCCTGTTTTATTTCCATGACAGCGCTTATCACCACTGGACATATTCTTACCCTTTTGTTTGCTAGTTTATTTCTTGTCTGCCTCCCTCCAGAGCATATCAAGTGCAGGAGGGAAGGAACCTCCTCTGCTCCTTCCCCATAGAATCTGCAGCTACTAAAACAGGAGCTCAGATATCCCTTGAAATTACTGAGCATGATGTACCCATGGAAAATTAAAATTGGAGCCACCCCTACAGAGGCTTATAGTTATTCCAGACCCCAGTGCAGGTCAACCAGGCCTTCTTGGAACCAGCTCAACCGACCTTGCTTCTGAGGGTCCCTACCCCATTCTTCTCTCCTCTCTCTAAATCACAACCAACCCTGAAGCCTGCATCCTTCTCATCCTCACCCAAACCCATGCTTCTCAGGCCAGGCTGTCCTCTGCATTTGCAAGAGCACTCTTAGGGCAGGCTCACATCCTGCCACCTTTGCTGCCCCTGGCGTCTACCGAGCTCAGGGCCTGGCGCCAGGCCCTTGACTGGCAATGGGTGATGAATTGCCCTGTGTGGGGGTTATGGTGTCAGCCCAGGTCGGAAGGGCTCGCTGCACTCTGGAGCTACCAACCCTGTAAGTGCCTGCTGTGTCCCCCTTCCTTCTGGCCCTGGGATCCACCTTAAGCATGAGGTCAGGAGGGCACTGGCTTTCTTCTGGTTCACTAAGGGGTCAGTTCAGGCCTGGGCAGCTACTTCCCTGGCTCACCCCTTACATCCAACTGCCCCAGCCTGTTGGAAGCTGGGTGGCAGATTGAAGTGGGCTGTTGGAATGATGACATGGATGCTTTTGGCTTTGATTTAAACACTGGTTGGAACCTCTGTACTGGAACAGTTGAGAGAGTCCTCAAGTCAAGCTAGGGCTTATCACGAAAAGGAGGTCAAATGGTTCAGCCCCACCTGATGGCCACAGGAACAGAGGTTGGGGCAGAAGAGTGAAGGGATAGGGGTGGAGGAGAGCACTGGCTGGGGAGTCCAGGAGCCTACTACTGGGCTTCTCAGGTGAGTCATTCACCTCAATTGCTCCTCAATTTCTCCTCTGTGATAGAGAGGATGGTGAAGCCGTAAAACCAGAAGTCCCTGAAATGGCAGGGAGGGGTGAGGGTGCAGGGACTAAACTGGAGTCACTGGAAAGGAGTGACTCCAGGGCGTGGTGGGTCACACCTGTAACCCCAGCACTTTGGGAAGGCAAGGCAGATGGATTGCTTAAGCCCAAGAGTTTGAGATCAGCCTGGGTGACATGGTGAAACCCCATCTCTACTAAAAATAGAAAAAATTAGCTAGGCATTGTGGCACGTGCCTGTGGTCCCAGCTACTTGGGAGGCTGAGATGGGAGGATGGCTTGAGCACAAGAGGCAGAGGTGGCAGTGAGCTGGTTGTGCCACTACACTCCAGCCTGGGCCACAGAAGAAGACCCTGTCTCAAAAAAATAAAAATAAAAATAAGGTCCCTGAAACCTGGAGACAATTCACAGCCCAGATTCCCCGGTTATATTCAGAGAGAAGTCAGGGTAGCCCAGGCCCCAGGCTGCCCAGCTCCCAGCCCCTCTCTGGGTATACTCTGGAGTGGGTCCTTCCCCGGCCTCCCCAACCCTGCACCCTAGTGCCTTCCCCACAGGGAGGAGCTGCCCAGCTAAGCCCTAGCCTCCTCACTCAACCGCTCCCAAGACACTTTATTTCGTGGCCTTCCTATTTTTGGTACAAATATCTCAAGCCTCTCTAATTATGTCTCAACCTCCCATGAAAATAATCCAGCGGTGGAGACGTGTTGGTGTGCCTATTCTCCCCTGTATACATGAAAAGAGTAAATGCGTTCTTAAAGTAGGAATTTTTCCTTTTAAGAAGTGGCCAGCAGAATCCGGTGACCTTGAGCCCTTTCGAACCCTGGAAGTGCCCACAGTTCCGAGTTTCCGCCGAGACCGGCAGAGTGGCCAAGGCGCACGAAGCCAGAGGCCAGCTGCCAGAGGGCCTTCCGTTGGGCGTCCTCTGTGTGTTTTTCTATGGCCCAAAGCCAGGTCAGGGTTGCGCCCACGGCGTCCCCGCTTCCTTACAAGGGTTGCAGGTCCCACCGCGCGCGTCGGGTCTCTCTGCAAGGTTTCGGAGTTGCAATATCCCCACTCCCCCGCCACCTCTACCCCGCCTTCCCCCATTCATGCACCCTCCCTGGATTGGCTCGGGATGGGGAAGCCAAGCAGCATCTCGTGAGGATCTATCTGTTTCCTCCATTCCTGCTTGGCTCACGACTTTTTCCTTCCTCTGGGCGCGGAGCGCAGAAGGCATCTTCCCATGGGCTTAGATGCTTCTCTGGCGCTGCAGCAGTGGCTCGCGCTCCTCCTCCCTCGAGTCCGGCACACATCGGCGTTTGGCGAACATTTGTTGAACGATTGTTAAACGAGTGAACTAGTGGGCGCGCTACGCTACAATGGGGAGCCGCAGATGGGTGGCGCTGCGTGCGC